ATAATTAATGTAGGGAATGGTAATGGGAGGCTATTGAGATGCAATGTTTTACCTTTATGCAGGGTGGGATTCAATTTTTTTAACAACCAGTTCTGCGGGCATGGCTTAATTTGTGGGTGTGGCTTGGTGCTCATGTGACTGGATGGGCATGGCTTGGTGATCATGTAACCAGCTGGGCATGGTTTGGTGATCATGTGACTGGGTGGGCATGGCCAGGGGGGCATGTGACTGGCAAAGCAAATACAAGTGGTCCTTGCTTAATGGCCAATTGCTTAGCAAATGTTCTAATTTATGACTGACCTCATCCAAGCTACTTGACCTGTACACACACACAGACACATATACACACTCCCTTCTAAACTTGCTATTCTATGATTTTGTAAGGATCTCCTGCTGGAGCAGGAGGTTGGACTAGAAAATGACCTCCAAGATCCCTTCCAGGCCAGCCCTAGATTGCTTTGCTATTTCAAAGAGTCTTCTGAAGCAAGGGTTTGTGTCCTTCCTTCCTCTTCTTTTTTTCTTCTTGCGCTCCCTCCTTCCATGTATCTATCTTTCCATCCATATATCTCATTCACTTTCTCCTCCCTCCCTTTTTTTCTCTTTCTTTCTGTCCCTTCCATCCCCACTTTCTTTGTCTCCCTTTTTTTCCTTTCACTTTTTTTTCTTGTCTCTTCCTCCTCTTTCTCTTCTTTTTTCTCTTTCTTCCTCTCTTTCTCTTTTCCTCTTCCTTTCCCTCTCTTCCTCTCTCTCTTCCTCTTCCTCTTTCTCCCCCTCTTTTTCTCTCCTTCTTTCTCTCTCTCTCTCTCTCTCCCTTTCTCTCTCTTCCTCTCTCTCTCTTTCTCTCTTTCCCTCTCTTTCTCCCCTCTATCCCTTCCCTTCCTCCTTCCCTCTTTCTAAAGCTAGGAGAACCACCTGAAACACACACACAAACACACACACAAACACACGCTTCCAACATTGCTTACTTCCCAGCCAGTCTCCCAGAGTCCCAGGAACTGGATGTGATTGTCCATTCACACCCAGTCCCACGTTGCCCAGAAAAGCTGTCAGGCAAGTTTCCAGAACAAACAAAGGGGCTGTGGGTGGGACTTCCCTCCCTCT